CCCCCCCCCCCCCCCCCCCCCCCCCCCCCCCCCCCCCCCCCCCCCCCGCTGCCTCTCCTCTCCTGCCCAAGTGTCCAGTCCTGGCCTCCCGCCCACCTGCAGCCGGATCTCCGTCTCCACCTCTCTCCTCTTCTCCACCTTGATCAGAGCCGGCTGGTAGCACTGCTCAAAGTTGGTGGCCTCGTCGTCTTCGGCCCAGCAGCCTAAGGAAGCAGCGGGCGAGGCCGGGTGGCACGCCTGCAGCCCATCAGCCCCCCCACCCCACCCACAAACTGGGGGAGGTTGGACTTGACGTGCCTGCCCCATTGCAGTTGGGCTTCCCTGGCGGCCCAAGCGGAGCCCGTGCAAGAAAGAGAGCGAGGGTCCCAGCCCCCCAAGAGCGAAGGAAGGCCTGGCTGCCACTCAGCCTCTGCCCCCCCCCCCCGGCCTGGCCTTGCTGCTTGCTCACCCGTGTAGCGCAGGAACCCCTGTTGGATGGAGGCCAGGAACTTGGAGGGAGCCAACTTCAGCCCTTCCTCTTCCTCCTGCAGGGAGAACGGCCGGGCCCCTCAGTCCTGCCCCCCCCCAAGACCACCGCACGGGGCAGAAGCAAGTCTGGCTAAGCCCCCCCCCTCACCGATCTCTTCTCCTCCTCCTTCTTGTCCTTCGGCTCCTTCTCCTTCTCCGTCGGTTCTTTCGCCTTCTCCTTCTTCGAGTCCGTCTTGATCTCCGCCAGGTCCAGCTCGGCCCTCACCTGGAGACGGGGGGGGGGGAGGACGGGGAGGGACGCTGTCAGCCGTGCCGTGGTGCTGCGGGGGAAGGAGGCGTCCCCAGAGCCCCTTCCCCCACCCCACCCCGCCCCCCCATGGCCCATCCCTACCTCTTCCGGGGTCTTTTGGGCGAAAAGGACCAGGCAGCCCCCAATTTCCTCCTCTGGGTAGTCCGGGAAGCGGCCCATCAGGTCCCTGGGGGAGGCAGGACAGGGGCCCCCAAGGGTCCTGGCATCAGCTGGCAGGGCAGGGCAGGGCAGGGCAGGGCAGGGCAGGGCAGGGCAGGGCAGGGCAGGGATGGGATGGGATGGGATGGGATGGGATGGGATGGGATGGGATGGGATGGAATAGAATAGAATAGAATAGAATAGAATAGAATAGGTTGGAAGGGACCTCAGAGATCATCTAGTCCAACCCCATGTGCAAGCAGGAGACCCTTACAGAACAGTAGAGTGAATAGAATAGAATAGAATAGAATAGAATAGAATAGAATAGAATAGAATAGAAAATATGGAATGGGATGGAATGGGATGGAATGGGATGGGAAGGGATGGAATGGAATAGAATAGAATAGAATAGAATAGAATAGAATAGAATAGAATAGAAAATATGGAATGGAATGGGATGGAATAGAATAGAATAGAAATAATAGAATAGAATAGAATAGAATAGAATAGAATAGAATAGAAAATATGGAATGGAATGGGATGGGATGGGATAGGATGGGATGGAATAGAATAGAATAGAAATAATAGAATAGAATAGAATAGAATAGAATAGAATAGAATAGAATAGAATAGAATAGAATAGAATAGAATAGAATAGAATAATATGGGATGGAATGGGATGGGATGCGGTGGGGTGGAGTGGGATGGGATGGGCAGGGCTGGGCTGGAATAGAATAGAAATAATAGAATAGAATAGAATAGAATAGAATAGAATAGAATAGAATAGAATAGAATGG